GTCTGTGCGGTATTAGCGAAGCACTTTAGGCGCCCTACTGCTTGCTGTATAATGGCACGAATAGCATCACAGAAAGGTCTCATTGTTCACGACTTACTGGAAGACCCATGAATTGAATGGGCATGCTTAGAAACTGTGCCAGGATCGACGATGGGATCAATACGGGCAAGTCCCACACGACCAGGGCACTCCATGCGCCAGAAAGCATGGGCGCCACCTACTAGGCCAGCAGAAAGAGCGATGAGTGATTTGAGCATCTTGATGGTATTGGCCTATTCAGGCTAGAAGTTCAGCCTTCGAGAGGCGATATTTGAAGGAGTGGACGATGCAACGAGGCGATCTGCATGAGAGGTGTTAGAATTGTGATGATGATGAAGAAGAAGAAGAAAAGTGCATGTTTAACGGAAAGTGCAAGCAATCTTCCAGATTTAACAAAGGAGGGAAAGAGCATTGCTGTCGAGCATCAAACGGAAGGAGGGACTCAGACGGAAGCCAGCTGGCAGCGGATAGCCGCCGCAGGTACGGCTCAATGCGCGAAATGGGAAAGAGGCATTTTTGAAAGACCGTTTCCCCAAGGAGAAATGAATAATGTTATGTTCTTTGTGTATTTTAAAAAGACAGGTGCTTTTTTTGAGTCGTTGTAGTCGAGTTCCGATCATGGTAAAGTCAAGGCATAAGTGGAAGTGGAAGTGTACTCACCGTCAACGTACTGTGGAGTTTCAGTCAAATCGATGATGAGTTTCTGTAATCCTCGAAACTCCCTTTCCGAACAATATTGATTCAAAAAGAAACGAAAGAAGGGATCAAAGAGGAAATATTGAAACCAAAAGCTGTAATGGCTGGGGATGCCTTTATTGCTCTTGACGGTCGCACACTCTTGCGAATAGTCTGGCCAGCCCCGCTGAGAATCCGAGACCCTGAATTCCAACGCGTGGTTCAGATCCCAACGTCGAGGTCACTGCCACACTTCCGGATTGAGCCACCGGATCCTTTGATGGTGCTGGATTGAATCAAGGACAAAGAATGCTTTGTCCAATGGTGCCGCTTCCGGTTTACGGACGCCAACTCCCGCACAATCGGTGGACGTGTCTCAGCGTAGAGTGGTTGACAGACGCTTCGGGAAGTTTTTGGCAGATATTCAATTAAACTGAACCAGAAGAGTCTCGGTAGTGGAGAGTAATGATGTCGACTGTTCAGATGAAAGTCGTTTTCGAAATGAGCGGTTGACAAGCCTCGTTGATAAACTTTAGGGAACCGTTGGAGCCTATATCAGCCTGCCGTTTTCTGTAACGACTTGACGATCAACGGTTTTCACAAGGTTCGGAAGATCCAGGCAAAGTTATTGCAAAGGAATGGTTGTGATACAAGCGTGATTCTCCCAAGTCTTGCGAGTCGCGTTTCTTTCGCAAAACGCTTCACCTTTTAAGATCTCGAGCTGCCGATCCTCTTCACAATACAGGAACCAGATAATCGGTATTTTGAATGATAAACGAATGAGATTGAACGGGCAGAATCGCAAGGAACGTGGGTATGGTCGAAACCAGAAGAGAGTGTAGATACGAACGTCAAAGAGACGGAAAAGAGAGTTGAATGAGTGTGAAGCGAGCCAGCCCGAACTTCAAAAGAGTGAATGGATAAAACCCGAGAATAAAAGCAATCGAAAAGGAATGGGATAACAAAAGGGAAATGCCCAGCTGGAAAGATGGAGAATGGAGAATGGAGAGGACGATCGTCCGCGAAGTGGGAGCACACGCCGCTAGAACATGGCATTGACAGGCAAAGCAAAGAGCATGGGGTGTTTGGTTCTAGCCCGGGGGCAATTCAATTCATCTTGGCACTCAACGGAGCATTTCTCTTCTGAGAGGGGAGGGGATAGTTTGGTTGTGTCGCAGTCAAAATTGCATCGGTTCCAAGGGTCAACCTATAACGCACAGGGGTATTAGAGTGGTCTTGTGTCGTGGTACCGAACTAAGAAGAATACTCTGGGGTCATTGGCCGATCTTGAAGGTTGTAAGCGCTGGTAGGGGCAATAGCATGTCGTAAATACCTCTCCATTGATGCACGGCACGCGATAAATGCAGGTACAAGGCACCCAGCAGCTGGTGGTCGGAATGAATACATGGAGATCTCCAAGGCTGTCCCTGGATAATGCCAGTTAGCAGCAAGCCCAGGGGACGTCTCGGCAGAAGAGTTGCCGAATCAGAGCCTGTACACAGCATCGGGTCACATTGCGAACGGCGCCAGAAGGTCTGGGCTTCCATCATTTCTCCTGTCAATCACAACGGATGAGCAACTCTCCAGATTGGAATCTACAGATCTTCACTGTTCAGCCAAACATTGATTGGATTCTTGCGCCTTGCAGAGTCGCGCGGGCTCCACCACGTGCACAATTGCTTAAATGATTGCATAACATCGAATGGCCAAATCTCCTTCGTACGGCATTCTATTACACACTAAAGAGAAGACTAGGACATGCTGGTCATTCACGGTTAGATCGGTCGCTAATTACTCTCTCATGATCTGTGTGGCTATGACGCCGTTGGACTGCTTCTGGTAAATTGTCTCAGATTGTGTGTCGTCAAGTTTGCGGATGGCTGGTTTGCTAGTGTTGTGAGCGAGGCAAGGGTCCAAGCCTCAAAGACAAAGGGAGAGACAAGGGGTTTTCTAAATGGTAACGAACGAACCCTCTCTGAATGAGAGTTGATTGATGGCCATGATCTTCAGGTCCTGGGTGTTCATCGTCATTTGTCTGTTTCGTTGATATGTTTCCACAAGAGTTTCAACGTTGTAAATTCCCAAACATTTATTCGCTTTGCATAAGGATTTATATCCAGGGGTTGGAATATCTGAGGGGCCAAGATGCCTGAAACGGGTTTCACTTCCGGTATCAGCCAATCATAGGCTGTCTGTTCCTCACTGCCACCCAAGCCCCTATCATAATCGAGAGTGGCGCTGGTCGTTTAACGGCGGGATGACCTCAGTCTGGACTCTGAAGTTAGCTAATAAAAGTGGTGACCCTGTAGATATCGTAAATAAAGACCGACATAATTAATATCTTTCAACTTAAGAATCTTGGCTTCCTTGGCTCTGTTTGTTGGTTGAATTTTTGGGAGATTTCGATCACTACGCTTTGGTCGTTCAATGTTCATACCAGTCAGTTAGTTTTGGTTCCCTCCAGTTGCTCCACGCTTCATCGCAGATCTGTTACAGTATGATTTACTTGTCCAATCTCCCTTGACATTGAGTGCCAGCACGAGGCATTATTGAATCGACATTGCAATTACGTATACAAGCGTGAATTGGATACTTGATCTGCAAATCTTTAGCTCATTAATGAGAGTGAGTTTTCTGGATGGCAGTACAACCATGGCCACGTTTCTCGGTTGCCTCAAAGCTCGTTGAACCAGCGCCATGCACGTTTGCTACAGTAGACAGTCCAGAACCGCCCAAAGCTCCTTGGCTGTTTTATTTATTGGTTACTACTATAGCTGTTGTAACGATGGTACAATCTAATTTGAGAACAGGGTCCTGGTGCCTAATACCCGCGTTATTTGGGCATTTTGGAGACCATCGCCTCGTTTCATCACGAAACATCACTGATCACACAACTGAACATGAGTGTAGTAGGATGCGGGGCTAAATTATAGAATCCTAGCGATAATGTCACTACTTTCATGATCATGCATCCGCAAGACCTTTTGTATCCTTGAGGGAGGGATAATGAGGATGAAAAATTACGCTCTAACAGTTCAACTCGTGGCTCACATCAATGGCTGTGCGCTGTTAGTTGTCACTTACTCAAACAAACTTATATCGTATGCTTGCGTATAATGGCAGTATTGTCCATATCAACCATCAGAGTAGTACAGGGTAGGCGACGTATGGTGTGTAAGTGAATCAGCTTTGTCAATGGCAATATTCATTGGTCTGGAATACATTGCCCTGCTACTCAGTCTTGTATTCCCCTTTCGGGTTGGCCAGTAATTACTTACAATTCTTTTCAGTCAAGCTGTGGCAGCGTATGGAAGACAAAGTAACTTTCAAACGCCAATGTCTTTGCTTTCAGACATGGCTGGCTGAGTTTACGAGATATCCAATTAAGTCTACCGAGTTTGCTAGAACATTTCACTTAAGTCGATTCCATCAAGCAAACAGGAGTGAACGCTTTGGACCTGATCTGTAGAACCGTACAGAATCATGTGATAAGGCAGCCACAAGCTACGCACAGCCACATAACCCCACACCCGAATGCGGCCCCTGGCTGGGGTCGCATCTCACAGTTGCGATAACAGACAACTACTTCACTTCTCGTACTATGATTAACTATTTCCAATAACATACCAGATATTTCACGATGGACGACCTCTCAGGCCTCGATTGGTCCTCTAAGCCAGCCGGCGGCCAACCGAAGCCGCCTATTATGAACTCGGCATTCGCGCCCATGCGACCAACACCATCCCCTTTGGGCTCAGGTCGTAACACGCCTCTGTCCACACAGGGCTCTGGTTCCGTGGCCCCTAAGCCGGCACCGACGAAGCCATCGCAGGATAGTTTCAGCAATTTGATGAATTTCGGACCGGCAAAGTCGAAGCAGAACTTGAGTTTGGCTGAGCGACAGGCGCAACTTGAGGCTGAGAAGCGACAGAAGGAAGAGGAGAGGAGGAAACAACAGGAGGCTCAGTTTGGTAATGGACAGTTCTGGGATGCACTTGGAAGCAGAGGTGCATCGACGAGCCCTGCGTTACAACCGCCGCCTATCTCGAACACGCCAAAAATCGACGACGACGACCTCTTTGCCGCCTTCAATAAAGATACCAAAGTCGACAATTCGAGTTATTATCCTCCTCCCGAGTCGCATCGATCGACATCAGCGAATGGCGCCCCAGCAGCTGCGCCAATTAACTTGAGCGACCCCAACGCATGGAATCCTAACGGAAAAGGAGCGAATGGAGGCGCCTCTGGAGTTGAAGATGATGATCCCTTTGGCCTGAACCAGATGAAACCCGCTGCTGCTCCTGCGGCATCTACCCAATTGGCAGATGATGACGACTTTTTGGGAGATCTTGCACGTCCTGTTGAGGAAGTACGACGTAAACAGGAAGCCAGCAGACCAAATGCGGAACCTGGAAAGCCTATTGAAGACGAGGACTCAAGCTCATCTGAAGAGGAAGCTACCCCAGCACGTGAGCAATATATTGAACGAACACCACGAGTCAACAAGGATCCTTTTGATCGAGCTGTGGCGCAACTTGTGGACTATGGGTTCTCCGCTGACGATGCCCGACGTGCTTTGGTTGAGAGCGGTGACGGTTACAATGCTCAAGCTGCGGTCAATTGGCTTCTGGACGAGGCGCATCGAAAATCCAAGGAACAGGCGCAGGCGAAACCCTCGTCTGCTAGTTCTAGTAGGCCCGGAAGTCGACCTCCAAGAGGTGATAGCAGGTCGCCTGCAGCAGGCGATCAGGACTTGGCAAAGACAGCTGCTGCAATGGGTAACAGCCTGTTCAAGACTGCTAACTCACTTTGGAAGACTGGACAGAAGAAGATGCAGCAGGCTGTCGCTGATTTCCAACAAGAAGGCGACCCAAGCCAACCTAAGTGGATGCGGGAAGCACAGCACCAGTCCAGATCGCAAAGCGCAGGAAAGGCACGAGCAGACGCTACAGACGAAGCTATGATGCTTGAAGCTGGCGGCCGTCCCCAGCCTCGTCGGACTAACAGTCGACCTACTGAGCAGAGGGCTACTCCTCAGACATCGAGGGGACAATCACCCGCTCACTCTGCTGGCAGTCGTGCCAGTCCAGCACCTCGATGGCAACAGCAGGCGCAACCACCGACATCGGCTTTTGATTCTAAATCACGACTCAACAGACTGGCGGCAGATGATGAGATCTCTACTTATAGAAGCCCTAATAGGAGAAATAAGACATCTTCACAGGCCTCTTCGCCAGCGCCGACATCCAAGCCGGCGGAACCAGAATCAGATCTACTCTTCAACTCTCAAGAAGTTAGACCATCCCAGTCTATGCCTTCACGACCCGCTCAGCCTTCTCCTCGACCAACTCCACAGGCTAAGCGACCCTCACCCCCTGTCTCAAGACCATCACCACGACCAGCTCGGGAGATCCCGTCCATCAGCCCCGTCGCGCTCCAAACCTCTACACAGCACCGCCTCCAGGGTACAGCTCACTTCAAGCGAGGTGACTATGCTGCTGCCCACTCATCCTACTCGTCTTCGCTGTCAGCTGTTCCACCGACACATCCTCTTGCCATCCTCCTCCTCTGCAACCGTGCTTTGACTGCGCTAAAGACCGGAGAGCCCAAGCAGGCTGTCGAAGATGCCGATAGTGCACTCAAGCTTATCGGACCTGGCAATGGTCAAGGAGAAGTGGTGGCTGTGAAGAATGAGAGTGGAGTAGACGAAAACCGAGACCTGAAAGACCTTTACGGTAAGGCCTTGAGCAGGAAAGCAGAGGCTCTAGAACAGATGGAGAAATGGGGCGATGCTAGTGCGGTCTGGCAGTTGTGTGTCGAGAGTGGCGTTGGTGGATCGAATGCCATTAAGGGTCGACAGAGATGCCAAAACACTCTGGCACCCAAGCCCAAGCCAGCACCGAAACCAGCAGCCGCCAAACCTCGACCTAGACCCTCCGCAACAGCCAGTCTTGGACCTCAAAAGAGCTCCGAGGCCGTCACGCGTCTTCGTGAGGCAAATGAGGCTGCAGCCAAGGAGGACGACGAGAAGTTTGTGCTCTCCGAGAAGGTTGATGCCAAGGTATCTGCCTGGCGCGACGGAAAACGAGACAATATTCGGGCTCTGCTTGCTAGTCTCGATAGCGTACTGTGGGAGAACAGTGGATGGAAGAAGGTGGGCTTGCACGAACTAGTTATGAACAATAAGGTCAAGATCTCGTATATGAAAGCTATCGCAAAGACACATCCTGACAAGGTAAGCATTGTATCACACATGACCCTGTCAAGAATCTTTCTAACATGTCGCAGCTTCCTCAAAACGCAAGTACCGAGGTCAGGTTGATCGCAGGATTGGTGTTTAGCACTCTCAACGAGAGCTGGGATAAGTTTAAGGCGGACAATGGACTATGATCTATGCATGAGCATGAGGGACGGAGTTTGTAGAGCGTTCAATTAGAAGCGTGTCTTGAGACGGATGTCGGATGAGTATATGAATTCTATTTAGGCGGCGATACCGCTGCCGAACACCATGCTATGCCATGCTTCGCCGTGTCAAAAATGTGCGCCAATACTCCTTGCCACTAAGTATTTATATGCTATAGACCCAGCATTTTTCGGACGCCTTCGCGGACCTTATTCTCGTATTCGGTGCGCCGTTCACGCCACATCTTTGCTGCCTCAACGTTTGCAGGAGACTCGTCGTTGGGCTCGGCGAGCATGCTCATGACAGAGATTAGGATCTTCTCGACAGACTGAATAGGTGACCATCGTTCGGATGCGTGCTCGTAATGGTTGGGATCGTCGCCAGGAGGGTGAAGGATCGAAATGCATACCAGACCACTAGGGTACACTGTAGAAAGTCAGTATGAGCATGCGAAAGACTGAAGAGTTGACGAACCATTGGGGTGCCACACATCGGCGAGGAACTTCATTGATGGCGGGGCAAGCGGATAGTCCTTTGGGAACTTGAGCTCCGCAGGAAAGACGCCACCCTCAAAGGGAGTACCCTCAGGACCTTGAATAAGGCATTCCCAGTGAAGAAGATCGTCTTCAGAGATGGGGCCGGCGGTGATGCCTTCTGGTGGGTTGTTGGTGAGAGCGCGATACTCTTGGAGTAGGCGGCGGTGGGCGGTAGACGTCATGATGTGGGGTGTAGTCAATAGGGGGAGAGTACCTATGCTAGCTAGTTACGAACAAAGAAAGGATGTATTCTAAGGAATCAACGTTGTAGACGCTAGACGAGAAATGCAATGATGTTGTTCGAACAGACTCAGAGAAGCGGAAGGAAGGTACGTTTCGGACAAGGTGGAGGGAAGGTGACGGCTAGTGGGGACCCCGGGATACGGACCACCCCACAATTTTATTTCGGCGTCGATGGTCTTTTGCCGTTTTTGGCAGATGTCAAAGAATCATGGATCTGACAGCTGGGAGCAATAATGAAGCCAAAATGAGAGCTGAGTGACTGAACCGGATAATTGGATATATTGGGATTGATGAAAACACGTAAGCACCATGTTCGTGCAGGTACGCTGACTTTAACTCTATGAGAGAAGCTGACTGGGTAGTGAAACATGATGAGAAGCAGAGCAAGATGAGGTTATCCTACTGTAGTATACAAGCTGATGCTTCATATCAAGGGGTTCGTATCAGCTAGAAATGGCTTGGCTTCTCAGATAGTACTAAGTGTTCGTGGATGTTCTACCCACGAAGCTGAAAAGAAACTTCAAGAGGCATTCTCATACAAAAGTAGTTTGTTAATTAAGATTTCTATAATCAATCCATTAAGGAAAGCCCATGAGTAAGCTGGTTTCTGAGTAGGGAATATATCGCTAAAAAAAAAAAAAAAAAAAAAGAATACCGCTGACTCTCGGCATGGTCAATATGTCTCGCCACGAATTGTAAAACACCACAAAAAAGATCACCAACTCGTAATGAGCTCGTTAGATTCTCCGGTGCGGGGAGTCGAACCCCGCTCGCCGCGGTATTTATTGCAGTGCAATTGAAAACGCGGAATGATAAACCGATACACCACACCGGATGTGTTTGTTGAAGAACTACGTTCATTTTGAATACTATAACCGATTTTGCAATTTGTGGAGAGCCCTTGGTTTAGGACCCACTCAGTAACATTGGCTCTTGGGGAAAATGCGTTGATTGGCTGTTTGTGGAGTTACTCTGGACAAGTGCCGTGTAAGTCAATTCTCTTGTTGTTTCTCTTATTGTATATCGACCATCCAGAGTGTATGTATTTATATGAGCATTCTCGACGCCCTCAATTCGATACTGTCCATATCCAGATGTATGAGATCGACCAAAACCAGGATATCTTACAGGATCTTGCTCGTAATTCTGAAGTGGATGCCATGCTAGCACCCTTTGTCCTAAAAGCTATACTTACATACCTGGAAACGTTCAGGAAAACCTTTGGTCGCCTTCATGTATTGTTTGCATTTATCGTTGACTTACATCATGGGGATCTTCTTTCAACTGCAGAGTTTACACAAGACAAGCATTCTTAGGCAGGTGACTCATCTCTCTGCCAGAACAAACAAACATTGTCTTTGTGTTGTTGAAAACACTTCTCAGAGCGAGCGGGAGAATGCTGGGCCGATTGTTTTGAGCGTGTTACTCCAGGAACAAAAGCGGCCAAGAAAGGGAAGTCAAACACCAGCAAACAGTTTCCATGTTTATAACCACCAGAGAACAGCCAACTACCAACTCTTGATTGTCGATTACTAAGTTTTCTATCTAGACTTTCCCAATTAAGTTCCTGCTCTTATACAATCTCAAACTCTTGACAATGGATAGTGAACTCCGCCATATGATCGCTAAGAAATGTGAAGCCATGTATACAATCAAGATATCAGTAGTCCCAGTCATCGTCATCTCCCCAGTCTCCACCAGAATAGTCTACTACTGGTTTTTTTGCCCATTTGTCTTCTGCGGCTGGGGCAGCTGGCTTGGCAGGTGCCGGTTGTGGTATATTCGAAACCGGTTTGGTATTATTGTTGCTGTGTTGATTTTGAATACTGGAATTGGGATAAGCCGCAGAGCGATGATCAGCCTTGTGCGGTGCTAGCTCCTTGTTCATATGTTGGTCCCGTGTATGGGGTTGGACAAACTTTGGCTCGTCGGGTTTGGAGATCAAAGGTGCTGTGGTGATATCGTGCTTTGAAGTGTTGACCTGAGGTATGGGCTCAGGTCTAGAAGCAGCCTGCTGATATTGTAGGTTTGAGGGAGGCGGAGTAGCCTCTGTTCCCACACGAGCAGTCTCTGCGGATATTCTCGGAGTCACATCCGAGCTTGACTGAGAGTCGTTATTCAGATGGACTTGAGATTTGCTAATCATGTCAGTTGATCTCCTGTGGACTTGAACGATGGAAGGTTTCAAAACAGGCTGTGGCTGTGCCTGAGCCACCTCGATGGTTGTGATTGACCCAGCATCCGAGAAGCTGTCTCTTCTGTAAGAGGATATGTGACTTATCGAGGAAGCAGCCGCGTCAGACAAGCCGGGGCTCACTGCAGGCGGGGGTGGAGATATACCTCTCTGGCTGTTTGGCTGAGGTTGAAGGGTGTTTGGCGTAGCAATTTGTGGAGGTTGAGGCGGCTTAGGAGCTTTAGACTGAGGCATAGGTGCTTGTTCCAAAGCTTTTGGTTGGGCTGGGGATGGTTGTCTTTGAGGTGGCGCTTGTCGCTGAGAAATGTTGCTCAGTTCAACTCTTACAGGAGGAGCCATGGAAGGGTCTGGCACTTTAGGAGGCATAGTCACAGGCTGTGTTGCCGAGACTCCTACAGATGGCCCTCCCGTTGAGTATCCTCTAGGCTCAGGCTGTCGATCTCTCGGTGCTGGACCTGGGGGAGGAACTTGGCCAGGTTTAGACGTCATTTGATTAAACTGCGGTTGCGTTTGAACCTGTTGAGTGGGCATTCGTTCCTGTTGGGGAGGTGACTGTCGGTTCTGGGACGGCAACTGCATTGCTTGAGGAGGAATCTGGCTCGATGGAGTCGGTGCTGGTCCTGGCTGGGTATTTATCTGTCCCTGCTGTAGTGGCATCTGTCTGTTCTGAGGTGGTTGCCGTTGTTGAGAAGGCAATTGCATGGTTTGAGGGATAATCTGGCCTGGCTGCTGAGACGCTTGACTGGTCTGGGGAAACTGAGCGGCTTGAGGCGGTAGTGGTCCAGTCCGAGGAAGTGGTTGACCAGGTCTGAAACCCATCTGGCCATGCTGAGGGGGTGCCTGGACGGGCTGAGTTGGTGGTTGAGCTGGTTGATGCATCTGTCCAGGTTGAGATTGAGGAGGCACCGTATTTCCCTGGAAGCCTGGTTTGGCAGAAGACATAGGCTGCCCGGGCTGCCATACAGCTTGCTGAGCATACTCTCCACCGCCCCAACTGGGACGTCCAACAGGAGGTGATATAGGTGAAGAAATGACTGGCGTAGTTGGACTATGTGAAACAGATTTGGAGCCACCCTTCAACCACTTGAGCCACTTCTTTCCCTCCTTGCCTTCCTTTGCCCCAGCGCTTTGTGAAGCCTGAGTTGGCATCTGCATAGAGACTGGGCGAGAGCCCTGAGGTGTCATAGGCTGCATGCCAGGTTGCCATTGCTGTTGGTTTGGAGGAATCTGGACTTGCGGCTGCATTCTCCCGTTAGATCCTTGGCCATGATAGGCCATTTGTTGTTGTCCTTGTGGAGGCATTGGACCTGGCGTTGGACCTTGTGGCATTTGCCCAGGAGGAACAGGGCCCTGCGGGAACTGGAGTTGAGGAGGCAGCTGTCCTGCTGGACTGGCTGGATAAGACGAGCGTTTTTGCAACCTCGTTGGTGTAGGCTTAGGGGCTAGCGCTGGAGGCGTTGGGGCAGGCGCAGGAGGAGGTTTATGGAGAACATTCTGCACCGGTGTAGATACCTGCCCAGGATGAGGTGCTTTCCCTTGAACCTGGGGTGGTATCACCTGGCCTTGCATAGGTTGCCCCTGTGATCCAGGGCCTTGCTGTGGAGGCACTCCCTGAGGTGCTCTCGAATCTCGGGCAGACAATTGTTGGTTTTGAGGTTGAGGTGCATGTCCTTGTGAAGGTTTTCGCTGCAACTGCTTCGGATTCTGAGCTGCCATAGGAGCACCTTGAGGAGCTTGCATTTGATGCATAGGCTGTCCTGCATGGCCCTGTGGTATTGGGCCCTGCTGTCCTTGGAACTGGATAGGTGAAATATTTTTCGGGCTTTCAGCTTGCCAACTTGTTCTTCGACTTCCCATCGGACTTGGCTGCACAGACGAACCTCCTGATCCCTTCCTCATGTCCGTTGATACACTCACGGTCGAAGACCGACTCACTGTTGCGCCCGGAGCTTCTTCGTACTCCTCGATGCGTCCTAGGCCTTGTTGTCCCTGTGGTGGTGGTGGCGGCGTAGGCGCAGTGGGAGGTTGATTTTGTGGTGCAACATTTCCTTGAGGTAATTGTCGAAGGGACTGCGAACGTGATACTCCCTGAGGTGCAATATTATAACCCTGTCCAGTTTGTTGCGCCAAAGGTGATCCACGTTGGGCAGCAACAGGGTCTGCCCCGACCGAGCTACGTCTAGCATCCGTGCTTCGACTTAGAGATTTCTTGCGCAGCACGTCTCGGGCAGCAATGTTATGGCCTTGACCTTCAACATCTTGCATAGTAAAGTATGATCCTTGTTGATACTGATTGGCCGGAACAGACGGAGGCGTTGGTGAGAAACTCTGCATTGAAGACGAAGTTTGGGAAACAGGAGAAGGCGTATAGTTTGGATTGATGCTTGAATTGGTTGATGCGCGACGACTATGTTCCATGGGAGATGGCGTTTGAGTGGGAAATGACATGCTGCCGTGTCTCGAATCTGGCGAGATGACTGCAGAGCTAAATGATGAGTGTCGCCGGTTGCTGGGTATGGGGGGAGATGGATCGCTAGAGCCTTGACCTGGTATTTGCTTCTGTACAAAAGGTTCTTCTGGGTATGGCGGGTTCTCTCTGTGATAAACTGGTCCATCATCAGGATAAGGTGGATTATCAACTGGGTATGGAGGAAATGGAGTTATAGGCCCTGCAGTTTCCGATCGCGGAAGACCTGTCGGTGGCACATTCTCAACTGGACCTCGATAAGGTAGATTTCCGCCTTGTTGCGGCCCAGCATTGTAACGGCCTTGGATTTGTTCCCGAGATTGTCCAGCCATCATATCAGGCATCACACTAGCCGGTCGTTTTGGTACATGTTGCTGATTCATTGTACTAGGTGCTAACACCTGATGTCCAGTTTGGACGGTGGACTGTGGTCTCTGAGAAGGTAATAGTTCAGGCACAGTGTTGACCCTTTGGACGCCCATTCGCGGTTCTTCTAGGCGCTGTTGCTGAACAAGGGGTGCTGGAGTCATAGATGGAGGATGTTTCCCTTGTGTAGGCGG